GAGATAGGAAGGTAGGACATAGGAGAAAAAGAAAGGATAGACAGAATAAAGAGGGGGGGAGGAACAATAGAGGAAGGATAGAAAGAAAACAGAAGGAAGGTCGGAAGGAGGAAGGCTAGAAAGAAGAAAGAGGAAGAAAGTTTAGAAAGAAGAGAAAGAAAGGATAGAAAGCAGATGGGGAAGGAAAAGGATACTTTTATATTTTGGACCAATCACTGGGAGACAGTGATTCTAATCCCACCTTATTCATAAAGCCAGCTGGGTGGGCCAATCACCAGGAGACTGTGAGTTCTAGTCCCACCTTAACCATGGAAGCTGGGTGACTTTGGGCCAATCACCAGGAGACTGTGAGTTCTAGTCCCACCTTAGCCATGGAAGATGGCTGGGTGACTTTGGGCCAATCACCAGGAGACTGTGAGTTCTAGTCCCACCTTAACCATGGAAAATGGCTGAGTGACTTTGGGCCAATCACCAGGAGACTGTGAGTTCTAGTCCTGCCTTAGCCATGAAAGATGGCTGGGTGACTTTGGGCCAATAACCAGTGAGTTCTAGTCCCACCTTAAAATGAAACCCGTCTAGTGACTTGGGGCCAGTTATTCTCTCACTCAGCCCAACCCATCTCACAGGGTTTTTGTGGAGAAAACAGGAAGAAGGAGTATTAGGTATCTTCACCAGGTTGAGGTATTTATAAAAAAATAATAAAAATCTATCTAAAAAAGACCAGCGATCTTATGGAAAGGCTGAAGCACAGATAATTTAGCAAGTCAAATATGGTCGGGAACGAGGCGGCCTTTAATGTTTCTCACCCAGAACCTCCAATGCTTCTTTGAGCCATTTCTTCTCCTCTCTCCCTGCTCTCTTTCGTTCTGTGCTGAACACTGGTTTATTTTTATTATTTTCTCGGAATGTGGCCCCAGCTGGGTAGCGAAGCATCCCCCATTCCCAAGGCCCCAATGGAGTTTAAATAGAGTCATTCTTGCTAATTAAACCAGTCGCTGTGATTGCTTAGTTAGGATTGACAGTGTAATCGGGAGTCGGAGTTGGGCATGGCGTTCTCAGAGATTTTTATTCTTCTTCTTCTTTTAATTATGAAAATAGATCTCGGCAGAAGATTAAAATTGTGCCAAAGGGTGAGATACGCATGCCCTCTCTGTTCCAATGAGGCATGGCCACAATACAGACCTACAGAGACACACCAGGAGGTCAATGGGGTGATGTGAATTTAGTCAACAGCTTTGTTTTTCCTGGCCAAAATGATAATATTGTGGAGAATGGCAGGGGGAGGGATCCTGGGTATATCAGACCAAGATCCTTTGAGGGTGAGCGAGGCAAACATGAAACTAGGAAACAAAAGCAACGGGGAAGACTACCAAACCTAAGAATATCCTGCAGCGGTGAGTTCTAGGCATTAAGATGGGTAGTAGAAAGCAGCAATTTTTTCTTTCTTTCTTTCTTTCTTTCTTTCTTTCTTTCTTTCTTTCTTT